TTCCGACCCAACCACGCCAGGCCGCTGTGAAAATTAGCTGAGCACCCTCGTGAGCAAGCCTGGCCCGTGGTGTTGCTAGCCACGGGATTTCGTGGCTGCTGCCCCTTTCCTGGTGGGCGGCGTGCCCTGGGCCCACCCGGAGGCCTGAGAGCTGGCTTCCCTGCCCAGTTCCCACAGGATGTACAGCTTGGCCGCCGCTGAGCCTGGAGTCTCGTCCCTGTCCTCAGCCCGCGCCTTCCACATGCAGCTCACCCTCCGGCCCACCCTCACCGCCTCTGGGCCCGGGCTCCCATCCAGAGGCCCTTCCTCAAAGCTGTCCAAAGCACTTGCCCCCTGAAGAGCCTTCCTTTCCGACGGTCACTTCCTCCTGATCCCAACCCCACACCCAGCCTGGCGCACGGGGAACCCCCGCACATCTGCCCTGGAGTCCCGGGGTCAGGGGATCGGCAAGGCTCTCCCTCTCTCTCCAGCTTGGGGTGGGTGAGGCTGAGAGGGGCCCTGAGTCCTCCCCGGGCAGGGGGAGAAGTGATGAGTGAGTGTGTGTACACATGTGGGAACACCTGTCAGCAGGGGGTGTGTGCGAGTGTGCAGTGCATGGCCCCGTGTGAGCGTGTATGTGCACGTGAGCATGTGAATGTGTGCAACTACGTACGTGCATGGGTTTGCCTGGTGTGTATGCGTAGTGAAAGTATGTGTGTGCGTGTTTGTGAGCCCGTGAGTACACATGTATGAGTATGTGTGTGCGTGCACGTGTGTACAGGACTGTGCGTGTGAACTTGCTTGCACAGTGTATGTGTGTAGTGGACCGCGTGTGCGAGCCCTGGGAAGGCAAGCAGGAGTCGCTGCAGGTGAAGAGGCCTCCCCTCCCCCACCCCGGGAGCTGAGGGGCAGGGCGGGCTCCGAGAGCAGGGGGGAGCACCCAGGCCATCCCGGAGGACACACGTGACCTGGCCAGGCAGCAGGGAGCAGCAGACGGGCAGGGAGCAGCAGACAGGCAGGGAGCAGCAGGCACCTGGGACCCCAGAGCAGGCTGAGGCCTGGGGTGGGGCAGGGCTGTGGGGGACACCAGGCAGCCAGCGGAAGGCGAAGCAGGATGGTCTTGGCCCTTGGGAAGCACAGCTTGGGCTGGGCCTGGGGCCTCTGTGACCATGTGGAGACCCTGTCCTGACATGGGCACAGCACTTCACTACTGACGGTGGCGGTCTCAGGTGACCCTCACCCCAGACTGAAAGGTTGCCCCCAGCAGTGGGGCCGGAGAGCAGGGTCCCAGTTTTAGTGGTTGTCCGCAGCCTCAGTGTAAAGACTCCCCAGGGTCAGCCTCAAGCTGCCATCATGTCAACTGGCTCACAAAAGTCCTAACACTGTAGCAATCAGCCATCTCGAGCCAGTATGAGCCGGATCCAGCACCACCACCCCCTGCCCGGACCCAGCTCCTCCACGCCGTGGGGTCGCAGGTCGGGAGCTCCGCTGCACGGCCAGGGCTGCAGTGACGGAAGGGCGGTCTGGGCCGCGTGGAGCCGCAGAGATGCAGACAGCAGAATCCACTCCAGCTCATTTAAGCACAAAGAGGTTTATTGAGGGATCACAGTCAGTGGGGAGGACGGCAGAATCAGACTTGAGACCGAGCTTCCAGGAAAGACAACTCCAGAAACCGCCCCAGGCTCCTGCCCTGGCCGGGAGCTGCCACAAGTCCAGAACATTCCACCTCCACCACAGCGTGCACCAGCAGCCCTGCCTCCTCGCCACGTAAACTCAGTCCAGGATCAAAGTCTCGGGCAAACGCATCTGTCGAGAACCCGTTGCAAGGCAGCCCGGGGAGCTTGGGGCAGGAAGGCGAGCCAGCAGGGGCCGGGCCATGCACAGCGCCCACCCCAGGGGGTGCCCAGGGCCCTGTGCCACCTCTGCTGCTCAGAATTCCTCGGGTTCCTGCCCTGGCTTTGCTGACGCCCCAGGGGAGGAGCTGTCCAAGACGGCCTGGCCCACTCGGGACCCCCATCTGATGGCGAGTCCGCCTGCACATCTTAGAGCTCAATGTGAATGTAACCGGGCATCTGGGGGCCCCAAAGCCCAAAAGGGAAGGGAGGCTGAGGTATCAGGAGGCTGTGAGCACCGGCACCCCCTCCTAGGGGCAGGGGCAGGGGTGAGGCTCCGTCCCGTGAGGAGCATCCACAGTGAGGCCAAGGACCAAAGGAGCAGGAAGTCTCCGTGTGGCCGGGCAGGGAGATCCGGCTCTGAGGGGGCCCCATGAGCCCCTCACTGCCCCTCCTCTCCCCTCTGGCCCTGAGGTCTCCTTAGAAGCAAGACCCCTCCCACCAGCTCCCAGGGGAAGGAAGAGATACCTAGCCACCACCCCGAGCTGGGGTGGCTCCCGGGGCCAGTCTGCTTGTTCCTCCCCTCTGCCCCATGAGGAAACCCAAAGTCGCCCCGCCCTAACCCCCAGACCCTGGGAAGTACGACCTCTCTGGTAAAAGGAGCTCTGCAGATGGGGTCAGGAGGGCATGCACAGTGAGCCCTCTGAGGGCCCCTGACCTGGACTGCAACGAGAGCCAGTGGTCACCCACATCCCACAAAGGTGAGACCCCACTGCCCCCCTACCGGGACGGGCCAACTGAGGCAACCCCTCTGTCAAGTCCCCACAACTGTCAACACTGGTCCCTCGATGGGGCTGGCTTGACCCCAGCCTCTGCAGGTTTAAGATGAGGTCAAAGGCCCATCGGTGGGGCAGGGGGCCGAGTCAGCCTGAGGACCCACAGGGGTGTGGAGGGGTCTGCACTCGCATATGGCAGCAAGGAACAGGGTGGGCCCAGGCAGGGCGTCATCTTAAGGGGTCCCTTAAGGGGAGGGGAGAGGAAGTTGGAGGAGGGAAAGAGGACGTGGGAAGAGGGGAGGGGGAAGGAGGGCTGCACCCTGGAAGAACCTAGGGCTCCGGGGAACCAGGGGTAGGAGCGCCCATGAGCAGGAACGAGCTTTGGGGTCCTGGAGTTGGGTGATCTTCCTTGGAGGGAGGTGCCCTCCCCCAGGATACTCCCCAAGGGATGAGTAGCCCAGGAGGGCCCAGCAGCCCCCGACTCTGGGCTCAGGATGAGAGGGAGCAGCCCCTCTGTGTGCTCTGGGGTCCTCGCCCACCTCCTCTTCCCAGCAGGGGCAGGGCAGGAGCCTGGCAGGCCAGCACTAAGGGGAAAGCAGGCAGTAGGCTGGGGGGCCAGCAAAGGAGTGGGGAGGGAGGGAGCCCCACCCACTCCCTGTGCACCCCCTGAAGAGCCATGCTGTGGTAGCATCCAGGCTCGAGGCTGATTCTGGCATAAGAGCAAAGGAAGAGTTCCCTGGCCGTAAGGAAGGGCCAGCCCCCCAAAGCGCTGAGGCCGTCTAGCCCCCATGGGACATGAGTGGCAGTAGCAGGACCCTGCCACTCCCACCTGGCCTTGGTCCACTCTCTTCCCCTGACCCAGGGTCACATCCGTCGGGACAAACCCACCGGGTAGCAAGCTTCTTGTGTGGTGGGACCCTCTCCCCGCTGTGTGCGCCCTGGGGTGGGTGGAGAAGCGGGACCCAAATCACCAAGGCGCCTGCGTCCTACTGGTCAGCCAGCAGCAGCGCTTACCTGCTCCGCGTGGCATTTGTCACGAGAGGGGACCCACACTAAGACTGGCTGCCTGGATTTAGTTCTCATGGAAAGGGGGCGGGGCCGCCAGTTTCCTGTGGACTGGCGTAATTCGGAGGGAGCGTGTGCCATGGGAGGCAGCAAGGTGGGCCTCGACAGCCGCGTCTGAGCCCCGCCTCCCACTCTGCACTTCTGGTCTGGGCGGCGGGCAGAGAAGTGCCTCTCTGTCCACGGTGCGCAGGCTGCGCACACCGGCCCCCGCCCCCTGCAAACGCAGGCATGGGGCGTCTGGGTGTGGGAGGGTACAGAAATATGCTGGTTGTTTTTTTTAACGCACCATAACTGAAAAAGCACAGCCCCCTTCGAACGAGCCTCTCGGGTCTCTGCTGCAACTGCTGAGTCTCCGAGTCAACTCGAGCACATGATCCCGTGTCCGCTCCCCACTTCAAGTCACATGAAGCTTTCCAAGTACCAACACCCCCTTTCTAATCCTTTCTAAGCATCTTTTGGGGGGGCTTCTATCTTTCACACCTTAAGTTCACAAGCAGTTTATCCCTATCTGCTTCCCTCCAAAAATACTTGAAGTAGTTTAAAATATAAACACTCATACAAAAAGATTTTTTTAGTAAAAAGTAAAATTGGAAAGACGGATCAGAGCTATATAGGTGGAGGTAACGTCTACCCTGAACTGGAAGTAATGGGGATAAGAAAACTGAGCGCTAACTTAGCTCTGAGATTCCTGGCAGCAAAGGTGAAGAGAGAGAAAGAGAGACAGAGAGCGAGAGAGTTCCCGTTGCTGGAGAGGAAGCACCCCGCTGACTGGCCTTGAAACACGGAGCCTCAGTCCTCCTGTCCTTGGAGCGCTCTTTAGGCAGCAGTGGGTGAAAGAACAAGGCACGTAGTGACCCAAGGTGACGGCCTTCCCACCAACGTGGCCCAGATGGCACGGCAGGAAGCGGGGCGGGGGCCGTGTTCGTCTGCCTGCTGACACTGCCCCGGGATGATCCACTCTGGACCTTTCTCAGGGTCCTCTCCAGGGTTTCTTGGTTTTTGGTTTGCGGGTTTTTTCCCTCCGACTGGACTGAAATTTTGGTACAAGCGTTACTCTTCGCAAACATTCTGAGAACAAACGGAGTTGTGCAAGGTTAGTATGAGGTGCGCCTCTCACGTGCTGCTCTCCAAACACCTGGTCTCTCTGACTTTGCTCTGGAGAGAGTTCTGTGGTCAAACGTGCTCAGGAAATACGAGGAAAACAAGGCATCTCTGTTCCAGAGTGTGGGATCACCCGTGCCTTCAACAGAGGACTTGCACCCCAGACCTCGGCAGGGGGCGCATGCGCTCCTGGGCACGAGCCCTTTCTTCTCTGAATGCCGTTCACGTGCTCTGGGCACCACACAAGACAGGCTCACAGAGTGGAAGGGACACAGAACTTCAGAACAGACAGCCTGGTTTAAGTCCCAGCTGGATCATTTCTTGCCTGTGTCATTGTGGGCAAGTCAGTCCACGTCCCTCAGCTCTGGTTTCCTCATTACCTGACCTGAAGGATATGGCAGTGACTAAACGCGATATGGGAAAATGCTCTGTCAGAGGGAAGCACTGCACAGAAGCAGCTGGGATGACCACCTCACCAGGGGGATCTCAGAAGCACGAGTCACTCGCCACCTGCTACCAGAGTGATGGGAGACAGGGGGGCTGTGGTCTGCTTGGGCCAGCGGGCACTAGGGCACGGGGCTGAGGGGGTCCTTGGACACGGTGGCGCTGGGCAGGGACTTGAGGTACTCCAGGTGCCTCCTGGCGTCCTCCTGGTTCTGGCGCACGTAGTACACGACATAGGTGATCACCATGGCGAACCAGCCGAACATGGTGACCAGCATGGCCACGTCGGTGGTCTTGTGGTGGATGCTGCAGAAGCTGACGCCAGAGTCGAGAGCCTGGATCAGCGGCTTCCCCACGTACTCCTCCTGCACCGAGGTGTGGCAGGCGATCTCGTCCACCGAGTCGGGGTCCAGCTTCAGCTCCCACAGGGCCTCCTGCAGGGCACACTCGCAGTGCAGGGGGTTGTGGGACAGGCGGATCTTGGCGCTGAGCTTGCCCAGGGCGTCCTTCGGGATCCTCCGGATGCGATTGTGAGACAGGTCCAGCAGCCGCAGGCCCCCGGCCAGGCCCGAGAAGGCAGCAGGGCCGATGGTCTCGATGGCGTTCTGAGACAAGTCCAGCTCTCTCAGCTGGCTCAGGTGCTGGAAAGCTCCGTTGGGGATGCGGGCAATTTTGTTGGCATCCAGCTTCAGGAGCACGGCGTCGGCCGGGATGTCCTTGGGGATCTCCTGCAGGCCCCTCGCACTGCAGTGGACGGCCACGGCCCCAGCGTGGTCAGGGCACTGGCAGCTCTGTGGGCAGGAGGCGCCCAAACGCAGGCAGAAGAGGAGGAGGAGGCAAGACCCTCCCGTGGGGACCGGCAGGGACGAGGGGCTCTGCTTGCCCATGGGGCCCATCCTGACTGTGCGTGGGGACAGACAGCACGTTCCTCTCGCTCAGGGCTACGGATCTCTGCTCTTCCCCGCTCCCTGGGCGCCGCTGTGCAACTGACCATCCAACAAAGACATAAACTCTCGTTCCTTACGTGCCAGGAAGACTGTTCTCTTTCAGCTCTGAAAGAGACAAGCAGCACTGTCCACTGTGGTCCAGCTGGGAACCCAGGCACACTTTGACTTTGGGGAGATGTCACCGGCAAACTGAAGCATCTGACCAGTGGGGGTCTCTGTAACTTATTTCCAGAGTCTCCCAATGCCACCCAGAAGAGCAAGGACAGGTCGTGCTGACCGCTGGCTGGGGGCAGGCTCGGAGCTAAGTGGTCCAGAACCCAGCCACCCAGCCCTGGACACACCCACTGCACACCCAGGGGACCGGGGCCTGGACAGTACGGGGGTGACGGCCGGAATGGGGTCCACCTCTCCGAGCTCCTCAGGGCTGGAAACCAGGAAGACGGGGCTGCAGGGTCAGACCCAATGGGCAAAGACTGGGAGCGGAGCAGGCTGCTGTCTCCGAGGAGGCTCAGCTGCGATCAGGAGCTGAGCACTTTGCTAATTTTGACAGCCCTTAAAAATTATAGTAATAAATAAAGCTCTTCTCCGGCGGCCCTAATAGGAACCACCACCCAGCAGCGGCACCGGGTCGGCGCCTTTTATCTCCATTATGTTTGAAAAAGAAGGAAAACGGGAAAAGAGAAAAGCCAAGCCCTGGGCGCGCGGCCCGCGCTGGGGCGTGGAGTGGCGGGGCCGCGCGTGGCCTGGCGGGCGGGGCTGAGACCCCGGGACCCAGGGACCCCCGAGACCCCCGAGACCCCGGGATTCGCGGGCGGGGGATGGACGGGGTCGGGGGTGTCCATGCTCCCGGGCGGGCGGTGGCTTTACCTGCAGGCCGAGTCCGGAGGCTGCTCTGAAAAAGGCACTGGCACACGCGGAGCCCGACCTGGAGCCACACCCGGGCGCGGCGGCGCCCCCGGAGCCTGCGCCCAGGTCCCCGGCTCGGCACGCGGCTCGGCCTCCG